TTGAAGTCTTAAAGAGAAGATCAGATCTCACCCAGTTTCATCTGCATTGCTTTAAAGGTGCTTGGTGGTGATTTGACTTCGACTGTCAGCAGTGACAAGTGACAAGCCATAAGTCAGCAGTGACTTAGTGACAAGCCATATTGCTATGGCCGCTCTTTCCCCCACCGGTTTGAAGGACTGCCCTGGATCAAGCGGAAGGGCTGCCGCCTACAGGGTGACTTTCGACCCTTTCCAGAGTCCCCCAGCGGGACAAATTTGGACACGAAAGACGGAGCTCGTCTTCCAGCGTCTGCGGCACCGCAATGGCCAACCGGAAGTCCAGGTTCATGCCATTTTCCATGCCTTTTTCTTAAATATTTTCCATGCCTTTTTTCTTTTTCTTTTTTTAGAAATTTATTAAAGTTTATTATAATATAAAATGCAAATTTTAAAAAAGATCATAAGGGAATAGAAAAAGTAAAAGAAGGGAAAGGAAGCAAGGTTAAAAAAAAGAAAAGAAAAAGCCCAATGACTTCTGACTTTTTTCAGTGCAAGAGAATAGAAAATACAGTTGCAACCAAAACTTTTTGCTTTCCATATTTACTATTAGCCCTTTCTATAACAACACAGTTAATCTAATAATCAAAATCTAAAATCAAAGTTTCGGTTTTTTTCTGTTTAAGCATAAAGTTCAGAAGCAGTTTCCAAGTGAAAACAAACTGGATATGATCTTTTGTTTAAATAAAGCAGCTAATACAAATAGACATTCAGCTATTCCTTTTACATTCATTTAATATACTTGTATAATTAAGCTGCTGTCATACCAAGTAGTAGCTTACTTGCTCTTTGAACATAATTGAACATAATTATTTTTCACTACAGAATGCTTACTCCAAAATTTGAAGTTTTTTTCAATTAAAAAAATGGAAGTATGCCAGGTGAATATTAAATAAAACATATAAAATAATATTTTCGAGCCATTGGATTACAGTTCTGTGATCACATATTGTTTTTGATAATAAAGAGTCTTTCTTCTGGACCTGATGTTCCAGGCATACAGAAGAAAAATTAGTCAGCACTGATGTGATTAGCAACTGAAATATTACTTTCACTGAAATGATTAAATAGTTGGACCCCTTTCTCTTCAATTTTATATCTCAGCCTTTTTAACACAAACACATGATAAAATTACTGCATCAAAGGACTAGAAACATGTTTCAGCCTATCCATATTTTTTAGTTATATTAATTTTTTTAACCTCAGGCCAAGAACATTCACTATTTTCCACTGTGGGAGACTTGGCTTCATTGTTTGTTTTCCAAAAATGTACATGAGATAAACCTCTTCCATAAAAACCCTTAACTTATTCCATAAAAGGTTTGAAACAAATAATCAACATCTTTTTTCTTTGCACAATAAAACTTTTTTTCTCCTGGCAAATTTATGCCTTAGTTGATAATCTATTTTTAGTATAATGTCATTTGTTTTTCACACCTTCAGAAGTACTTTATTAAACATATTGAGCTGTCCACGATCAAATTATGACTTGATGCTTCAAGTCATAATAATTGATAATTGATAATTGACAGCCATTATTGTGATTTAAAATAGTTCTTTGTCCTTCAAATACATAAAGGATCCTTTCTATCAAAAAAGGTGAGAGAAATTGCATACTTCCTTGTTGCAACCCACTTTATATGCTAAACTGCAATGTCACAAAACTTTAATATGAACAATATATGTGGAAATATTGGTAAATTTTCATACCAAGAACTTCAGTATCAAATGGTAAAACAGCAACTGCATTTTGAATGCTATTCTGTCCTACAGTATGTGTAGGACAGAATACCATTCAAAATACAATAATTACAATTAATTACAATCATATTCCTTCTGATTTTCCATTTGCATCCCTTTTCTTCACATCTCAAGAACTGTTATTATCATTATCAAAGCAAAAGTCTAATTTTCTCACAATGCTTATTGTGAGAAAGAGATGATTTATCATTATTTTGGAGATTTCCCTAGGAATCTACTAAGTCATTGTTTTAACATTTATGCCTGTCTGGTCTAAACAAAGGCATTTAGCCACAGACAATTTTATGTCCTTTTAATTTTAAGTGTCAACTATTAAGCAAATTTAGATTTGCTCAGCATTTCAAGTGTTTCAGAACATATTATAGGTGCAATTCCAAAACAGTAATATCACATTTTGCTTAAGCAATTTATGGTAGGTGCAAAATATTTTGCTATCCATTTGGAACTGGCCTCTAACTCTACCCCCTCGATCCTTTGAATGACTGCTAGTTAATTTTGGAAGAGGCAGTTTCCATATGGTATGAATACACAACTTGGTGGTGTGTTGTTGCAAGCTATCTCCATGGAAAAGACATCTGACCTATCTCATTCCTACTTTTTGCAATTTTGATATTTTGTAAGTAGAGGGCAGGAACCAAAGGACAGAAGGAAAAGGACTTCTTTTTAGTGGTTGCAGAGTAATATAGAGCTTTTAGCTCTTTGTAAGGAGTCACCTCCAAACTCTCTGCATGGTAGGAGAATGGGGAGCCGTTTCCCAGATCAGGTATATAGTTTTCCACATGTGTGATACTGCTTATAAGCTCAGTTTTAATCCAGAAGGAGGCCTAAAACGAAAAGGTTTTATAAAATTCAGCTGAAGGCCTAGGACTGGGGTGACGGCACGCGTGCCCACAGAGAGGGCTCTGAGTGCCACCTATGGCACCCGTGCCATAGGTTCACCACTACGGATCTAAGTCATTAATGAAGATATTGAAGAGTACTGGGCCTAAGACGGAGCCTTGTGGTACCCCACTACTTACTTCTCCATGTGGATGTAGTACCATTGAGGACTACTCATTGAGTATGGTTTGTCAGCCAGCTACAGATCCATCTGATGGTGTTGTCATCTATCCCACCTTTTTCTAGCTTACTAAGCAGCAGGTTGTGGTCTACTTTGTCAAATGCCTTACTGAAATCTATTAACCAGTCTCTGCAGACATTTTAAAGTTAATATTATAAACTTTATTAAATGTGTATTTTTGTATTATGTTATCCTCATTAACAGTTGAATAATGAATAAAGTCAGCCTTATCTTTATGGTATAAATTGTGGATATAAAACTGATACAGAGATAAATAGTAATTACTACTTTGAACTGTTAAAAACATCACTTCAGTTAGGCAGCTCCCTATTTGGGGGAAGTACTTTGAAAATGCACCAGAAATGGCCTTTCATAAATAATTGAGTCCATTAAAGGTCTTCACTTAAGCTTTCTAATTTTTGTTTACAACTTTTGAGAGAGCATATTCATATTTTGCAGAATGGACTAGTGACACATGCATCAAACAATAAATGCTCAATAGTAGAAATATACTATCCTCCAGAAATTCTACCCCAAACCCAATTGAAATCTTACCCCTCTCCTTGCCTCCCAACCATAAATTGACTTTATATTTAAATTGTAATATAGAAACTGTAATATAAAACATTAAAAACTCCTGACTTCTTGGCCTCTCCTCTCCAAAACAAATAAAAATCCCCCAAACCATCTTTACCGATTTTACATTAAATATATCTCCTTGATACTTTGGTTCTCTCCGCTCGTCCCCTTTACATCAAACAGGTAAGAGACCAGTCCTATTAAAATCACTGCTGTACTTTATTCTAGCTCAGTGACATAAAGAAGATGCCACCACCGTGAGTTCAAGCCGCCGTAAAGCAGTTTGAGCAGACGTATGTTGCAATCAAGAGGCGGGGCTATAGTCTCTGGACAACAGCTACCAATCACAACACGCACAAAAGAGCCGGACCGTACCATTTAAGCAAGAAGAAAAAGGGAAGGGGGGACGGGCTACCTCAACCTGCCCCTCCCACCCTCAGCTACAGAGTCCTGCTGTAGCAGCGGCACCATTTTTTACTTTCAGTATTCATGCTGCTTCGTCTTGCTGAGAAATCCTTGTAAGGTCCAGCAGCCAAAGTGTGTAGAGTAGGAGGTGCATCACGAGGAGGCTAATGTATATTGCACCCCAAAATATATTGCATTTTGCTACGTCATACGAAATAAATGATGCAATAGCACTTTTGGATTATTATGTGAGGAAGGTACAACTAAGCACCGAGAACTTCCACTTTATTTGCCTCGAATCACCTGGTGGGGAAAAAGGCATTCCGCCCATCGGTGGCATTCCAAGCAGACCTGAATCGCGCCCCCCCTCCTCCCGGTGCATCCATCTCTTCTCATTACTGTGGCTAGTGGGACCCTCGAGAGGTTGCCACAAAGAGGAGGGGGAACTTATTTTCCAAAGCACCAGAGGGCAGGACAAGAAACAATGGGTGGAAACTGACCAAAGAGAGAAGCAACCTGGAATTAAGGAGAAACTTCCTGACAGTGAGGACAATCAACCAGTGGAACGGCCTGCCTCCAGAAATCGTGGGCGCTCCATCACTGGAGGTTTTTAAGAAGAGACTAGACCAGGGGTAGGCAACCTTGGCTCTTTTATGACTCGTGGACTTCAACTCCCAGAATTCCTGAGCCAGCCAAGCTGGCTCAGGAATTCTGGGAGTTGAAGTCCACGAGTCATAAAAGAGCCAAGGTTGCCTACCCCTGGACTAGACAGTCACTTGTCTGAAATGGTATAGGTTCTCCTGCTCGAGCAGGGGGCTGGACTAGAAGACCTCCAAGGTCCCTTCCAGCTCTATTCTGAGTGAGTAGAAGAAGCTGCCCAGAGGAAGTGGAGCCTAACTGCTGAAAAGCTCGCCGAGAGCTTCGATTTGCGCAGAGAGGAGGCGCCGTCCTGCGTCAGCCGACAAGGCGGGATTTGTGACACTCCCTCGGCCCGCCTTAGCGGCCAAGGCGCGAGAAAGTCACCGTTGCCGGCAGCATCGGATAGGGGTTCCCGCAGGCTGCAGTGCCCTCCCCAAAAGAGCCGGGCCTTGTCGGGCGCAGAAAAGAGCCTGTATTGAAATCCAGGCTACGCCAGCCGTGCCGGAGAGAGGTGGACGGAATGAACCTTCGGCGGGAGCCCAGCCGGGCACATTGGCGCGAGTCGAGAGGGATGGCCCGCCACAGCACGACTCTGCATCTCGTGGCTGGCGGGTGAGTAAGCACAGGGAGCGTCAGAGCACGGCCCGTCGCGGACATCATGCACGTGTGGATCCGAAGCGCGGGTTGTTGGCTCAGCGGCATTTCTGCAGCAGAGCACAGAGGGCTGGGCAGGCCAGAGCAGCGTGTTTGGGCCGGGCCAGGCCAGAGCATGTGCTTGCTAACTAGGTGACCCTTGCAATCCCGGGCATCTCTTAATAAGCATGGCGGGGGTTCTGAACACCACTGTTAAATATTGCCAAAGCTGTGTGCCGCTGTGAACCAGTGACGTATATATTTTAATAACGGTGAGAAAGTTGCACCAACTTTCGCCAGGTTATGCTAGCTAGAGGTATTTTTCCTTGGATAGTGTGCAAGTAGGTTCAGGATCAGTTGCTTTTTTACATCCATTGCTGCTCAGCTTTCATTATAGCTGACTTAGGATTTGCTGCACACCAGCTTCTCTTTGGTGGGATGAGAGTTAAAATGAGCCGGCAGCGACTCTGAAACGACTCCCAAAAATTTCGCTCCTCTCTACTCAAATGGCAGAATCGGAATGAATACTACTGGTAGGAAACCTTCCGTAAGTTTTTTTAGCCAGAGGTATCCTTTTTCATCCTGCTCTCCCAGCCGCATTTGGAGAAAGAGACCCGGATATACTCTGAACACGTGGGCAACTTTTCAAATACCCACCCCTTTCCCACTACTATTGAAATCAATAAAACAAATTTATTTTGCCCAATTTGGAAAAGGTTTAAAGCTACACCAGTGATGTGGGTGTGATTAAAGTCTAGACACGATTGGCTATGAAGTCAGTATACCCCTCCCCTGTGCTTTCCGTGACTCCCCCGTGTTAACCTGTTCTTAGCTTCCTGAAAGCAGTCGTTGGCGGCTCTGGCAGTTCTCCAGAAGCTGTTGATTTTTTATTTAGAGATTTAGAAATGCTGGGAATTGCCCTGAGGCTCAAGAAAAGCTCGCCTAAGGCAAAGTACCAGGCATCGGAACCAGAAAGAAGGATGAGTCTCAGGTCAGTGCAACTGGTTGGAGGAGATAGCTTTTCCTTTGAATTATTTCCTTTCGTTTTGCAGCATTGCTTAGAGCAGGGGTAGGCAGCTGTGCTGGCTCAGGAATTCTGGGAGTTGAAGTCCACGAATCATAAAAGAGCCAAGGTTGCCTACCCCTGATTTAGAGCAATGCAATAAACAATGAAAAGTAAGCTGTGAATGCTGTAAAAATGCTGAAAAAGAGGAGTAGATGCATATCTGGAGAAATGTTAAAATATGGGGTAGTGTGTTGATGGAGAAGTTGACATGTTTAATATGTGTGTGGAAATTGCATCTGCTTGAGGATTAGAAAAATGACATTATTTTATCCCCTAGAATTAGATCAGTATTTTTCAACTTAGACAACTTTAGGTTTGTGGAATCTATTCTCAGAATTCTGGGAGTTGAAGCCCCCACATGGCTTAACAGAGTGAATATTAATTGCCATTCTTTGCAGCCTGAGTTCCCAGTATGACTGCTAGAAAGTCTGTAGCAGTGAATCACACTGTTCCAGTTTTCAAGCCACTGTTCCAGTCTGCTCTTCTGATCCACCATATTTCTCAGGGGTTGGCAATTAATTTTCCCAAGGGGCCATATAAGAAACTGGGACTGTTGTGAAGGCTGCCGCCTGCTGCTTCCCCCCCCCCCATACCTGCCCACCCCCTGCTTCTGCCACCCACCTCCACAGGCCAAATGTAGACCATGGTCTAATATTTCTGCTATTCTGGGGACAACATCCCTATTAAAGCTATCATGAGGACTGAAAAGATTCGATCCCCAAAGATAAGTTACCAACTTTTAGCAGTAAAAACCAAACATAAACAGAGGGAACTCCTTGATAGCTTATTCATGTTTTCTGTCATCTTCTCACTAAATTTGGCATTTGAGCAGAGGAAAGAGGAGGTGTGAGTAGGAAGAATCCCAAAAACTATTTCAGCACTTTTAAGCAAAGAGTCCTCTAAATACAAATAATATTTTTCTGCTATAGAAATTACTCTGTCTAGTAGAAACTGTTACCATGCGCTACTATTTCTATTATCTTTGCAATAAAAATAATATTGGCCTGCATGACTGTGGTTCCCTAGTCTGATCTACCTTGAAAAGCTGAAAGGGTTGTTGCCTTACAATTAGAGTTCCTTTTACACACATATCAAGCTCTATTTCTTGTATTCCAGCTCTGCGACCACATTTACTTTGCATTTGGACTGCACAAATCCCGACAATAGCTAGGTGGCATCCAAGAGACCTACATGCTTTGCAGTCATGTAGGTTGGATAGGCAAATGAACCTTTGGCAAAATATTGGGGCTGGAGGAATCGGATGGAACTTTTTGGCATAGCCCAACACATGTTCCAAGCGGCAATTAATGGCAGCTTTTCCTGTGGCTGATGACATTGGCAGGACTGGAATTACTGTCACTTTCCTTTGTGTCATGCAATTCAGGTGGTCTTTGACTCACGACCTCAATTGGGATGAGAATTTCTGTCACTAAGTGAGGTGGTTGTTAGGTGAGTGACATCCAATTTTGATATTTTTTGCCATAGTCATTAAAAGAATCCTGTGGTCATTAAGCAAATCCAGTTTCCCCCATTGACATTGCTTGTCAGAAGCTGGCTGAGAAGATTGCAAGCGGTGATTACGTGAACCACCGAACCATGCATGTTGGTTACCAAGTGCCTGAATTTTGATCACATGACCACGGAGATGCTACTATGGTCATAAGTGCAAGGACCTATCATAAATCACTTTTTTTCAGCACTATTATAGCTTTAGACAGTCACTATACAAATGATTGCAAGTCGACAACTACCTATACAGCTATATGGAAAGTAGCACAGCAGAGCTCTACTGTGAATGCATATTAAGAGCACACTGTGGGGGAAGAATGATTTACACTGAAATTGATTCCTACAGCCCTGGAGAAGGAAGCATGGCAAAGAGATTGTGTGGCAGAGTCCATGGGTTCCATTTCTTCACTAATACCAGTAGTTGATTATACTCTATTGAAAAGCTGCACTGGTATCTTGCTACTCTCTGTGCTGTGCACTGGCTGATATTGGAAAAAAACAGTTCAGTACTGCATAATTAATTATAATTTCTCAATATAGCTTCCCATTATACTGAGGAAAAGAATAAAGAATGCTGTGAAACTTTATGGACTAATTAAGATGCTGCAGAATTCCTTCCCTGGAAGTATTTAATCAGACACTATTGTAGATTCCATAGTAGTAGATTTCTGCACTAGATAGGGTAGGACTAGATGATCTTTAAGGTCTCTTCCAACCCTTACTTTATATGATTTCTTGATGGTTTTGATGGTTTGGTATAGTAAGTTAACATACTATAACTGCTCCTCTAGTACTTGGCACTAAATTGTATTTTTGATGTTCATATTGTGCTACAATGCTGGTCAACATTAATTGAGGTGCTTCTGACCAATTTACATTAGAGGTAGTCCTCGACTTACGACCATAATTGAGCCTAAAATTTCTGTTAAGTGAATTTTGCCCCGTTTTACGACTTTTCTTGCCACACTTGTTAAATGAATCACTACAGTTGTTAAGTGACTAACACAGATGTTAAGTAAATCTGGCTTCCCCATTGTCTTTGCTTGTCAGAAGATTGCAAAAGGTGATCACATGACCCCGGGACAGTGCAACTGTCATAAATGTGAGTCATTTGCCCAAGTATCTGAATTTTGATCATGTGACCATGGGGATGCTACAACGGTCATAAATATGAAAAACAGTCATAAGTCACTATTTTCAGTGCTGTTGTAACTTTGAGCGGTCTCTAAGTGAACTTTTGTAAGCCGAGGATTATCTTTATTACGAATTTTAAAAAGGTTTCCCCAGGATGAAGTGTTTTCTCTCCATTCCCCATCTTTCCACAGGATGCCAGGTTGATTTTTCTGTTATCTGGCTTAGAGCTGCCTTTTGGACTTGACGCAGTCTCTGTCCAAACTGCTGCCTTGTGCAAGATTCATTGTTGATGACCCTGGAAGTCGGCCTGCAGCTTTTTGCCTTACAGTGTGATATTAAAAAGAAAAGAGTGTGTTGGCACCATTTCCGATTTTCTAGGTTAATTAAAACAGCAGTTAGTATCTTGTGCAACCAAAAATAATGGGATGGGTTACAATTTTTTCCCCTTTTTCACATGCTGCTAGTACATATATACAGATGTGTACAGTGCCAAACTTGTGAACTGAATCCTTCTTAAAGTCCTTGGATCAAAGCAGGGCCCCTGGGGTCTCTTTAGATTCCCTACGTATGAAATGGTAAGACATCACAATCGGTCCCGGTGAGTTATGCCACTGTTGAGCCTTTTGTCCTAAACCCCCTTGTCTAGTCTTCCTTGTTTCATTCTGCCTATCTATGGAAGTGCATGTTCTCAGGTGATACATTAGAAAAAGAACATAACTAATTTGCCATTTCATGACTGCAGGCTTTCCTTTTCTCATTTTATGAAGGCCATGCTTTCTCTCTTGCCTTTTGTTGCCTTCTCTAGGCCTTCAGTGAGCTTTTCCCTGTCCCTTTTTTATACCCTCATCTCACCTACATGCATTCCCTCCCTCCTGAAAAGGTTTTGCTTAGATTCAATATTCTTCATTCCGATAGGTCAGTGGTCCCCAATCCCCGGTCCGTGGACTGGTACTGGGCCGCGGCATGCCAGCAACAGCACAAAGAAGCAAAGCCCCATCCGTGGGATGCAGGCAGCACACAAAACCATGCACTCTTCGGTCCGTGGAAAAACCTTTCTCCACGGAACCGGCCCCTGGTGCCCAAAAGGTTGGGGACCTCTGCAATAGGTTATTCTACCTCTTTGACTGCATCAGTGTCGTTAGTTTTGGTTCAATGATTGACCACTCATTCCTTATTCACTAACAATGAGAGGGAATAGCAAAAAAAAAATGTGTAGTCCAGATTTCATTCCATGTGACTACATTTTCTTGCCATTCCCTTTTCTCTTTGGAGCCAGCTTGGCCGAGGCCAGCTTAATGGAGGCTGCTCCTATCACTGCTGTTCCTTCTTCCTGCCATTCTTCTGCTAGTATGGGGGCAGATGACAAAAAAAGGGAGGAGAGGAGGGTTAGAGAGTCAGCAAGAGTCCCTATCCTGCATTAGCAAGTTTTGCCTTAGAGCAGGGGTAGGCAATCTTGGCTCTTTTATGACTCGTGGACTTCAACTCCCAGAATTCCTGAGCCAGCATGGCTCAGCTTGGAAACTCTCCCTTTCCCCTCAGCATGGCTGGCTCAGGAATTCTGGGAGTTGAAGTCCACGAGTCATAAAAGAGCCAAGGTTGCCTATCCCTGCCTTAGAGTGTTAAAAAATATCCAGCAATTATAGAAATCCAAATTATAGTCAAGTAGAAAAAGAGTTGTACAAAGGCACCAAAAAGTGGTTTCTAAACCTGAAATTTTTCATAAACATGGGCAGATGAATATAAACCTATCCAATTGCTAGTCGGCAAGGCTTTTTCTTAGAATATTTTTGCAACCAGGAAATCACAAGATGAAGTTGAGTGTTATGATTAAGAAGCTGGACTAGAAACTGAGAGATTATGAATTCTAGTTTTACTCTGGGCATAAAACAGAGCTGTCTCTCATTCCAGCTTACATCACAGGGTTGTTATTGTTGTGCAAAAAATAAGAGAAGAACCATTCTGTATGTCATATTGAATTGCATAGGATAAAGTTGGGATATAAATATACATATATAAGATAGCAAAAGCTGCATTATTGCCATCAATTGCTCCATCAATTCCATAGCACATATGGTCAAAGATTGAACAAAAAGATTATTTATTGGACTACTACTGGTTATGGCTTTCCCTTCTTATTTACTGGGGTAAAGAACAGTTGCCAAAGTGCACAGTAGCAGAAATTCTGCAAGCTATGGCAAGACATGCAGGCAGCAAAATAAAGCTTGTTGAGCAATTTCTAGATGCAAAGTTCACGAGTTTGGGTCTTCTCCCCCCCCTTCCCCCTTTTTTGGCATCTGCTTGGAAACACAGAGCCAAGACGTCAGCATGTTAATCAACTGCAAATCTGGAAGCTGACGCATATTAATATAGCAGAGCAGTCCATGGAGAAAATAAAAAGATAGGAGAGAGATGAAAATGGTGAGAGCTGCTTGTCAGTCCTGATGGACAGAGTCACGCATATTCCTACTTTCCCAATCAGTTTTCTTTTAATTATCATTCTTAACTGAAAGGAGCTTCTGGTCCGATCTCTTCAAAGAATAAGATGCTTTAAATATAGATGCATTAATTGAGCTTGTAGGCAGAATAAAACGAGGGAATCTTGATGCTTTTTCTCTATCTTCATCTCAAATTATCTTTGGTAACTAAAGTTTATTGTTCTTTTGGGTAATGCACCAAACAATGAATGACTAAATTTTCTACTGGACATAACAGATAGCAGGTATATTTTTGTCCCTAAATATATGCTCAATGAAAAGTCCCAGCCCATTTTGACAATTTTGGGGGGGTGTAATACTGCATTGAAGACTGTCTTTCACCCTGGATTCGTAAAATGCGTTGATTGTGCATTTGTTTTCTGTACTCCCACAGGTTAGGTGGAACAGTAGGAGCCATTTTGACTTGCCCTTTGGAAGTGGTGAAGACCCGCCTACAGTCCTCCACCTTGATCCCAAGGCCTGTATGCCTACCTGCAGTGCAGTTGCAAGGAGTGAATGGAACATTTGTCCGCCCAGGACTCCCCAGAATTGGCTTCCTTGAACTACTAAGGTGAACGATGTGGGAGAACAGATCTGGGTTACATGGGAAGCTTTGCTGATGTTCTCACAAATTTCCAATTCTCCTCTACCCTGAAAAAGAGGACAGGAAGTAATGTGCTCATTCACTCCTTTCTAAACAGAATCATTCTAGAGAAGGAAGGTGTTCGCTCCCTGTTTCGAGGCCTGGGGCCTAATCTTATTGGAGTTGCTCCTTCCAGGTAAGATGGTTTGATGGAACAGTAGTTATCTCTAATGATCCAAGCATAACTTTACAGAGCTCCTCATTGTAAGCACCTATATATCCTCAAGGAGTCCTTTTGACGCATGGCATCAAAGGACTTTTAAGAAAGTCCATTTATTTCTTGATTTGTCATCCAAATTCAATGTTGCATGGTTTTTGAGATGCAATTTCCCCTTTCTTCCTCTAGGGCCATTTATTTTGCTGCATATTCGGGAGCTAAGGAGAGACTCAACACAGTGTTTATGCCAGAGTCCAAGAAAGTCCACATGATTTCAGCAGCCTGTGCAGGTAAATGAATGTCCCATGCATACAAATATGGGTTTCTTCTGTCACTAATCATTAAATACCTTACGCTTGGTATACATCAACTTTTTTCAACCTTTTTACTCGGGAGGGCACTTTGAAATAATTTTCAGGTCTTAGGGAACTTTACAATCAGCGTTTTATGTTGCTCCCTTTGACTTTTCTTCATCTGCTTCCTGCAGGCATCACATCCGCCACTTTGACAAATCCTATCTGGTTAGTGAAGACTAGGATGCAACTGGAGCGCAGGTAAAGGCAGTGGGAAATGCACCTGTCCAGGGCCCCATTTGAGACCCCTGCATTCCTGGATCATTTCTGGGCATCATAGAAAACCAGCTTTTAAAACAACTAACTGCAAATGTAAAAGAAAGAAGGGAGATTTGTCAACTGCCATGGCTAATCAGAGTACAAATAGAGGTAGTCCTCGACTTACGACCACGATTGAGCCCAACACTTCCATTGCTACGTGAGACAGTTGTTAAGTGAATTTTGCCCCATTTGATAACCTTTCTTGCCACAGTCAATAAGTGAATCAATGCAGTGGCTAAGTTAGTAACACGGTTGTTAAATGAATCTGGCTGCCTCATTGACTTTGCTTGCAGGAAGGTCCCAAAAGGGGATGACACCAGAACGCTGCAACTGTCATCAATGTGCATTAGTTGCCAAGGGTCCAAAGGCTGATCATGTGACCATGGGGAGGCTGCAACAGTGAAAAGCTGTCATAAGCCATTTTTTCCAGTGCCATTATAACTTCAAACAGTCACTAAATGAACTGTTTTAAACTGAGGACTACCAGTAGACTATCCTGCATTTAAGCACAACATTCAGAGTCCTAGGAACTCCAGTCTTTTTTTTTTTAATTTCCCTTAAAATTACAAATAAATGCTTGAATGCCTGGGGCATTTCAGAAGCTCAAGATATATGCATAATATTTTGCATGGTTAAAATTTCAGTTCTTGCAGAGTCTCTCTGCGCCTCCTGAGGTCTACATTATGTAAAATAGTAAAAACTGTAGAAATTACACCAGTTTGGTATAGTGGTTAAGGTGCTGGCCTAGAAGGTGGGGTTCAAGTCCTATATTAGCCATGAAAGCCAGCTAGATGGCTTTGGGCCAGTCACGCTATCTCAGCCCAATTCATCTCACAAGGATGTTGTGGAGAAAATAGGAGGAAGGAGTATTATGTATGTTCACAGCTTTGAATTACTTATAAAAAATAATTCAGTTGGGATAAAATCTACATAAATAAATAAAATCTTCAGAAACAGTTTATTTTTTTTAATGGTTTGATTTGTCTGATTTAAACAGATTGCAGAATGTAGGTTTTTGAATTCAAGTTTTAGCTGCAGTGTTAGTATTGAAGAAGCACAGCCAGTGATATTGGCAAAATGAAGCAAAATCTTCCCTTCCTCCTTTCAGGGGCAAAAACGAGAGGAGCACCAGTGGCCTTCAGTGTGCCATGCGCGTCTACTACAGAGAAGGTCTGCGTGGCTTTTACCGTGGAGTTACTGCCTCCTATGCTGGTGTCACTGAAACAGTGATCCACTTTGTGCTTTACGAGGCTTTGAAGCAGCGACTCAGGGAACATCAGCTGCTGCTGACTCCAGCAGTTGTCTTATCACCCAACAGCCAAGACTTCTGCGGTCTGATGGCGGCAGCGGCTGTCTCCAAAACATTTGCTTCGTGCATTGCCTATCCACATGGTGAGTTGCTCTGAGCTCCGTGCTCTCCTTTGAACCCATCTGACCATAACAAGAGCTTCCTGCCATCCTTACACTCATTTTCTGTTTTATTTTCCATAGAGGTTGTTCGGACACGGCTACGTGAGGAGGGATATCGTTATCGCTCTTTTGTGCAAACTCTCCAGCTTGTGGCCAGAGAAGAGGGCCCCTTAGCTCTTTATCGTGGACTTTCAGCTCATCTCCTTCGTCAGATCCCCAATGCTGCAATCGTTATGGTTACCTATGAGCTGATTATTCACTTGGCAACAAAAATGTGATACCTTTCTATTCTTGCCAGGTGGCTTAAGCTGTTAAAGGCTTTGAAGGGTATAGTGGCTTAATTGGGTACACTTCCCCATTCCATTGCAGCACATAAACCTTGTAAGAAAAGCCTAAAAAGTTAGGAGCCTTCTGTAATGGGTGGTTTTGAAGGCTTTATAAGTGAAAGACATGTTCAGCTGCTCTTGGCCTTTATCAGACATATAAAGCCATGGACAAAGGAGCACATACAGATCACAAACCTGGACAGATGTGGAATTTGCTATGTAGAAATGTTTCAAAGAAAACATCTCTAGTGGATGCTTCCAGGGTCCCACAGGCTAGGTGATCAGTATACCCATTGTGCGGTTTGGTGCACTGAAAGTGTTATGCTCTACACTTCCTAGAGCTGGAGCTGATCTGGTCAACTGAGTGAAAATCTTTAAGAGAGTTTTTAAGGAAAACAGTACAAAGAAGACTGGGACATTTTATTGGAAGAGGATAAGTAATTTGGATCTCAAAATTGAACTCTATCTGTATCAGCCAGTGATCAGAACTTTACAGATACAGCAATGTTTCTCTTTTGAGCCTACCAGAGCAGCAAGTTGCTTATCTTCTAAAGCAGGGGTCCCCAACCCCTGGGCTACGGCCCGTTCAGAACCAGGCTGCGCAAATATGACACAGCTATTAATATATTTGCTTTTTAATTGGTTTTATAGGGGAAATGTTTTTTTGTGTTGTTTTTTAACATGCTGTGAGCCGCCCTGAGTCCCTCTGGGGAGAAGGGCGGCATAGAAGTTTAAATATAATAATAATAATAAAAAAATGGTGGATGGGTGCCTGCGCACATGAAGCTCCATTTGCGGGAGTGGTGGGTGCTCGCCCTCATGTACGAAGCCCACCGCTTGAACCATCCCCTCCCCCCACTGCTGGTCCACCAAGCCAGAAAAGTTGGGGACCACAGCTCTAAATATTGGTGGGGAACTTGTGCCTTCCCACTCCATGTTTTTCTCCATGTTCATAGGAAACAGCGCGACATTAAGGACTGCAAAATAAGTTTCTTGAGATATGCTGTTCATGGACTACCTTTGTGTTTATCTTCTGGGGCTTTGTTTACATTTCTTGATTGGTAGATTTTACCTCCCTAACAGGAAGGTAAAAAAAAAAAATCAAGTGGAGAAGAAATACATTGGCAGCTACTATGCAAAATTCTCCATGTGGGAGAGAGCTGTGCAATGTTGGTGAAGAGAATATCCTGAAATCGGAATCTGGCACATCCTCCAGTTGAAAGCTTGTGCTTGGATTTCTGTCTGTATGAGTTCTTTAAAGATGCAAAAAAAAATGAATAAAATTGCAGTTTTGAGAGTTTGTTCATATTTGTTCATGTCATGCACTGTGACATATTTTAAAACATGAAACCAGGCTTTATGCTAATAGGATGGATTGATTGGGTTATCTCACCACAATTTTGCAACTTTCAGTATTTATAATGAATAAAGAGCCTCTCCTTTGACTATTTCAGGACACATCCACAGAAGGAAGCTCTGACCTAGGAATTTCCACTTGTGAAAAATTAGAAGACTAAGCTCTTTAGCTCAGGTCTTCCAGGGTCCCCCTGAGACTTGGACTGTCCTCCCTGTAGGAACCTTTCATTCCTAATAGGTGCTACCCAGTTCTGGAGCAACACATACAGCAGGGATTTTCAAACTATGTTTTCCATTGAACCCTTGGGTTCTGCAAGAACTTGATGCTGTTCCCTAAGAGACTAAAGGCAAAGAGAAAAAAGTTTGCTTGAACATCACAAATTTTCTATTCCTAAGGCTTTCTTTCTAGATTGAGTTCTGGGTTTATATTTTGAAAGAGAGAGATACACACACGTATATAGCTGAATATGTAGTGATTAGAGTGTTGCCTGTGATGTGGGAGACGGGTTCAAATCCCGGCTAATAGCTGCCTTACTAGTAGGGGTTCTTAAGCAAAGACCCGCTAAAACTTCACCTGCCTACCTCAAAATATGAGTAAGACAAACTAGGAAAGTTATGTCAGCTCGGACATTGCCTGGATTAACAAAGCCCATGTCAGAAGTCGAGGAACCAGGAGAATCCGGAAGTGGACTACTGGAGCAAACTACATTGACAAGACTAGAGAACCTGGAACTGATGGAATGCTGGTACAACAGCAGATGTAATGAGAGGGATATATGAAGCGTATGAAGAAAATAGGGATAGACCGAAAACCTGCATCCATACTGAGAAACAGCTAGTTATCCTATGGTTCAACATAGTGAAGAGGAAGCTGCTATTACAACTTGAGATAGGCCAACTATACATTATATCCTAGGCGCAAGAAAACCCAGAAAAATAACTGGATTTACAGCCAACCCCTGAAGCTGGAAAGCCACTACCAACTTCTCCACTGAGTATGAGAAACTGGAGAATTAACGGCCTGAAGAAGGAACTGGAGAGGATATAGGAAGTCCAGGCCAAAGTGGTCCCAATGATGGTAGGAGCACTTGGGGCTGTGACACCTAAGCTGGGAGAGTGGCTCCAACAGGTCCAAGGAACGATGTCCAAGCTTTCTGCCCAGAAGACCGCAGTGCTGGGAACAGTTAAGATAATGTGCATAACCCTCAAAGAGTTCTGGTAGAAGGCCAGAGATTGAGGAAGACACACACCATCCACAAGCGTGAAAAGGGTGGTGTGTGTATACACTATATATAGTATATAATTATATACTTTTGACATGCAAACATAGATGCATATACACTGTATGTACATACACATATGTATATAAATATTCTGGAATATACACACCACACAAATATAAAACACACTTCTTTGACCAAAGTCATATTGCCCAGCTTCCCCAGAAGTGTGACTTTGGCCTTTCTTCTGCACATTCTACTGTTTTGCTTGCCAAATAAATTCCGCAATTCACGAGACTTTAGGCCGAGGAGACTTCTGAAGTGGTCAACTGTGAACAAAACTCTGCTGACCTGAATCCCTTTGCCCTCTTTTTGCTGCACCAGATAGGAGCATTTGCAAGACAACAAAGCTTGTTTCTGAAGAAAGAGGCTCCAAAATCCAGAGTATACATTTTTAAAATCCTTTTTTATTTTAAAATGTGTTCCATTCCCTTTTCCATATCATATTTCCTTCACTTGCTTGAATATTATTGACAATTTTACAAAGCGACACAAGCTGCAGGGGTGTTTTTTTTGTTTGTTTCTTTGCATCAAACAATCTCAAACAACAACATTGAAAAAATATACAATATTATATATATATAGTATTTTGGGAATTCTGATGTACCCCATGTGTTGTCCCTCCCTGCTCCTTTCTCATTTCCCTCTGCTTACGTAGCATGCCAATTCATTTTATCCTCCTCAAGTGCTGTGGCAATCCTAAACTGGGAATTGAGCCAGGGGGCCCGGCCCCACCAGTTCAAGCAAAAAGCTGGCAAGTTGAGAGGAACTAGGAATCTTGGAAGAGAGAAGGGCTCTTCTTCTGAGCCCTGCTGTTGGGTTGTTTTTAATGAGGATCAAAATGGATACACTTTGGGCCCAGGGAAGCACTAACCTCAAGAGGCAGACCAGAACCAGAGCAAAATTAATGGCTAAGATAGGATAAAATATACAGTAATGCTCTCGCAGAGCTCCCAATTGTTCCCATGAGCTTTGGCTAAGGAACTTCCTTGAAGACTGACCCTCCCCCCCATGGTAATTTAGAGAGAGAAGATACCAATTAGGTCTTTTGCCTCATGCACCGAACCTGTCCTCGCCAGTCCATTGTGTAAACAATGGAGAAAACAGAAGGAAGGAGAGGGGGTAAAATGTAAATAGAGAAAATGTGTAGAAACAGGCCATATCCCCAATTATTAAATATAAGCATGACCTTTTGGTGGTGGTCTGCTTTTGCCCTGTCCGCTATATCCCTCTAGTAGCGACAAGAGGCATCATGCTTGCCCACAATGCGCCGCTCATCAATGGCATTGCTGGTTAGGCTGTCAGGTGATTCAGAATCGCTGCTGTCTTCCTCTTCGGCTGCTTCCCTGGCTTTGGATTCATCGGCCTCTGCTACTCTCTCCTGGCAGCTCTGGTATGACTGCGGAAGAGAAAGGATGCAGGGACTGATCCAAGTTAAACATGGCCTCTTCCCACCCGTCCATCCCTTGTTTCACTCACCTCCATGGGGTTGACAATAATGGTGAGAGCAGAATCATCCCAGAACATCTCATTCTCCTTGGCCTTGGCACTGCCCTGGCTTCCTGCAGACTCCCCAGAGCCCTCCCGTTCACTCCCTCGCCTGTGCAAGGAATGGATGCGCAGCACGCCTAGGATTACCATCAGTGCAAGGAAGCCCACGCACACCACAATGATTATAGTGGCAGCACTAGGAACCACTGCAGAATAGAAAAGAGAAGAGAGGGAGAGCCCAAATATAGCTGGGAAATAATGTTTGGTGGGCACTTTTGAGGGGGAGGGTCATATAAAATGCATAAACAGCTTTTTGCAAGAAGCAAAGATCTACAAGAGAATGGAAAATGTAAGAGAGATGGAATGAATATACAAAAAGGATCCCTAAATCGCTGGTAGGTACAAAGGATTGACCACTGTATTACAGTCAGATATTTTGGAAAGCAAGGAAAATATTACTAACAAAAACTGAAATAGCAGTAGAACTGTTTAAAACCTTTCAAGAGGGTGCAGTTGCTTGTGTCTGTAAACAGTAAAGGAGTCCCTGCAGATTTTACTCCACCAGTTGACTATAGGGGACGGTGCTCATCTCCATTTCAGGGGCCACTGAACCAGTGCTGACTGAAGGTGTTTCTGTGGTCATGTGACTAGCACGACGTCACAGAGGTACCTATTTATCTAATCACATTTGCATGCTTTCGGACTGCTAGGTTGGCAGGAGCTGGGGGGATGGGAGCTCAACCCATCGCATGACTCGGGTCTCAAACTTGGGCTGCCAGCTTTCCAGCTGATGAGCCCAGCATCTTAACCACTGAGCCTTCGCACCACCCTCTGTGCCTGTTAAGCAGGTGTGGAAAAACTAGTGGGCAAGGGAGGGACCCATTTTCCTTCTCCCCATTTTACTTGAAGAGCAACTCAGAGGAACATTTGAGGCTAAACCACCCACACAAAATCCAGTTGCCTTCATTTTTCCAAATGGTTACATTTATCTTCAACCAGGTATACAAAAGTCAGGTTACGCTGTCTTCAGAGAGACAGTGACAGGAAGTGATTACAGTAATTCTGTAATGGAAAAAATAAACATAACAAATAAAATTGGGTTTAGTGGTTAAGGTGCCAGGCAACAAAACATTGAGCTCTAGACCCACCTTAAGTATGAAGCCTGCTGGCAGACTTAGGAAGGAGACAATAGCAAACTATTTCCAAAAACCCTTGCCAAGAAAACTGCAGGGACTAGTCCAGGCAGTCACAAGGGAAAACTGACTCAAATGCATAAAAATAAAAGCTTTTTCCTCCCTGTCTTTCGGACATGACCAGGGTCCATCTGAGTTCCTTTCTTTGCTTAATTCTATCAGACCCAAACTGATCCCCCCTGCAAGCCCACATAACCAAAGAACATGAGCCTCACGTCCAAGGA